GAAAACCTGCAATAAAATCCTTATACACAAGAGATGCTCTTGGTTACAGTCGTTCCTTTGAAAGCACTCCAAGGGAAAAAAACAGCCAGGGATGTTGATCAAGACTAGCCAGGAACAGCTGCGCTTCAAAACCCATCTTCTCCAGCGTTAATTGATGACTTTTACTATTAAGAGCGCGTTTCCCACACAAAATTGAGAATAATCTGTGGAACCATTCACCAGCTCCCTGCAGATTTAGTTACTCTAAGTTAGGGAAGAGACAAGAAGTTCATGGTAGTGACTCAGCTCAGCGATCTCCACCATCTAAGGCTGAACCTAAAGGTTACGGGAAGTAAAAACCATTTATTAAGACGTGTTTTAAATGGCAAGAGGGGTTGGGAACTGCTAGAGTGAGTATTTCACTCTGCTACCTGGCTTTACCTACAAAACGAGTTAGAGCTCATTATTTCCAGACACTTTGTCACTCTCCTAGGAACACCAACCACCCGTGATCTTACACTGAGGACAGAAACATCTTCTTTGCTTTGTTTTTTGTTGTGTTTTTTTAAAGTCAGAATGAGGAAATTGTTGGTGTCCCAAGTCAAGACAAAATGCCCAAGATTTGTCAGTAAAATACAGCAACAAAAGGTAAAGAATGTGCAATTTGGCAAATGACGTTTTACATGACTACAGACTTTAACCTCTCCTTGCAGGAATAACGAATTAGGAAGAGGAGAACGGTGCTGTCTGAAGAACTTCTGTAGGATAAACGCTGTATCGGCCGCGAGTACCGCGACAAAAGACTTGGAACAGGGCATAAACAGTTCTCTACTATTATTCAATTTTATGACTTCTTCAGGCAACTTAACAGTTCTTCTTTATCCATGTGGTACCCGCTCTTCTTCCATTCCTCCCTTAACTGCTGTAACGCGGCTCCGATTTCTTTTCCAGAAGACACTCCCAGTTTTCTTAGATCGTGGCCGCTGACGGGGAAAGAAGGAACAGTCCATTGCTGCAGTTCTCTTAAAAGATGTTCTTCTCCTTGGTATTTCAGAAGCTCACAGATCTTGGAATTTGTATTAGCTTCTCTAGACTAGGGAAAAAAAAACCAAAAAAGAGAAAAGCTGATTCACTATGAAACAGCTCAAACTGCACTCGACATCATGTTATTCCCATCACACCTTATTAAGCAACATCTGGACAAGCTGGAACTATGGAAGCAAAGATCCCTCCTGTACTCCATTTTATTTTATATATATAGAAAATAAAAGCTTTTGAACCCAAGCAGAAATGTCTGTTACTCTTCCCTTTTGCAAAACTAAACTCCACTAAAGGAAAAGAATTTTTTTTAGACCAAAGTTTCCACTTTATGTTGCGGAGGGATTCCAGGACATTGGCATTATTTGCCTAAAGGCCAACAAACGAGCCCGCTGATGAAACAGCTCTTACTTGACTAAGTCCCTTTTTCCCCTGCCAGGTAGGCACCTCTGCTTCTCTGGAAAAGCAGAATGGAAAGTTTGCTGTGAAGAACAGAGAAAAAAACCAAACAACAGAGCAAAATGAAACACACTTACATCCATTATGAAGTCCTGATAGGGTCTAAGTGGCTCTGGACCTGCAGCTTTGGTCAACTCTTGCCGGTGCTTCACTAAAAAAAGGCCAAGGTTTTTTTCTTCTTTGGAGATTTTCAGCCTCAGATCGAGGTTTGTGATGTCATCCTTCCCCCTGAACAACGACGTCAGGACAGTCATGGGTTTCGGGCACAGATTTTGAATGTTTTTAGTGACTCTGGCAAATTCCTCCAAATCTCCGTCAAGCGGTAGTCCTAAACGAATACACACACAAAAAAAAAGTGCAAGAAAAAGCATTAATAAGAAATGTGGATGTTAAAAAATAAATAGATTTCGATGACTTGGATGTTAACATAAGCAAAAAAACCCACAACCTATTTTTTTTCTGGGTAAACCCAAGTTTTATCTCACATTGCCAGCTGCAGTTCTGTTTTCATACAACACAGGAGGAGGAAATCAATCTTCATTGCACTTTACCTATGTATCGGGCAATATCCAGCTCATACATAAGTCGAACCAAATGATCTACGTGGTTTCCAAGAAGAATCTTTTTCAATTCCACCCAAATCCTTTCTCCTGATATTCCAGCCAAACCTTTGGCATTTTCCTTAATTGCTTGCAGTGTATTAGGTTCATGCTGATCAGGTTTCTCTGCGATCTATCCATAAAATCTGCCAAAAAAAAAAAAAAAAACAACCCCAAACTAAAAATCTTCTGTATGTTAGATTGAGAAAAATTATTCCATCTATTACTGCTGTTCACAGAATCAATGTCATTACGATATTAAATATTGTAATTGTAATTAACTCTTTCTGTATCACTGATCTCTTTTTGCACATTTCTGTAAACCTGCAATACTTAGTTCACTTCTTCATCTAGGAAAGGCAAAACCCGGTACCTGAAATATCTTAGGATTCGTAAATAGTCTTCTTGTATTCTCTCACTAGCCTTTCCAACAAATCGGATTTTCTTGTTTTTCAAGTCTTCATACCCATTAAAAAAATCATACAGCATTCCATCCAACCCTAGAAAAAGACAAAACCAGAAGAACATGAATTTAGAAACACAGCTGGCACAATTAAATGCTCTCATTTGAAAACACAGAAGACAAGCTGTGTGATTTGACCCAGCTTCTCAGATCACCTCACATATTTGTACAGCCCTTTTGGCTGACAGTATCACAAAACCAAAACGGAAACAGACTGACAGAATTTACTGGCTTAATTTCACAAGCCAGCCTTCATCTAAATATTTGGTTTTGAACAAATTTACCTAAAAACATGGAGTTGACAGTCAGATCCCTCCTTTCAGCATCCTTTTCCCAGTCAGTGGTGAATTCCACCTCTGCATGTCGTCCATCGGTGACAATATCTATTCTAAGAGTAGTAATTTCAAAATTCTGTTCATGGAGCTGAAAATCCCACAGACATTGTTACTTCCACGCAATCACGAATACAAATGCAAAACCTGTACATCTTTTCAGCCTTGTGTTTGTATACAAGTTAGTGCTCGAGCTGGATACATGCAAATCAACATGCACCAGGTTTTCACACTGAGCAGGCAATCAAGAGCTACGAAGGGCTGAAAACAATCCTTGCATTATTAATTTTCTAGACAGCCTGCAGAAATCTTCCTGCAGAAGATGGAGTAAGAAGCAGAGGAACGAGCAAGGTGGAGGAAGCAAGACTTGGGAATCAGGAGCAGGAAACACTAGGATCAACTTTCCCACGTTATCTGAACATCTGTGCAGCCCACAGTGTCTTTTCTAGTGATGAAAGCAGCACGAATGGGTTACGGAGAGGCAATTAATTGAATTCTACCAAAAAAACCCCACAAAACAACCCAAAAAATCACTTTGTGCTTTAAAGTGAGGTCTCATTTAAACTCTTGCTGTGATACTTTAACCGAGGAGAATGTTACCAGCCAGTTTTCTATTGGTTATGCTGCACATTTCAGAGATACAGTTAGAAAAGTTCCCAGCCAAATCACAAACCAACCCTGGCTGTGATGGTTCCGTGTTTTTCTCCTTTGTTATTGATCAGACGAACACCAGCGGACGTGAACATCTCCTTCATCTCCGCCGGCGTAGCCGTAGTGGCAAAATCTACATCTTGTGGCGTCATCCCGCTCAGCAAATCCCTCACGGCGCCTCCTGCTATTCTCAGCTCGAAGTTCTTCTTTTCGAACAGTTCTGGGAAGGAAAAGGAAAACCGCCACGCACTCCCTCAGGTAAAAACCACAGCAAACCGCCAGCGACAACCCGGCTTTCCAGAAGTCAGAGCTCACAGCACTAAGTAACAAGGACACGAACACCTCCCAGCTTCATGCAAAATGCACAGCCCGGCACACCGCAGTCATTTCTGACACATCCTGGGGGCGTATTCTGACAGCGACGTTTGGGTCAGGTGATACTGGGAGAGCTCTGGGACGTTTTTCACAGCTTTGTTGAC